CACATCAAGAAGGTCGCTGGGTCGCTGGTTCGATCCTCGGCTCAGTTTGCGTTTCTGTGTGGAGTTTGCATGTTCTCCCTGCCTTCGCGTGGGTTTCCTCCGGATGCTCTGGTTTCCCCCACAGTCCAAAGACATGCGGTACAGGTGAATTGGGTAGGCTAAATTGTCTGTAGTGTGTGTGTGAATGTGTGTGTGTGGATGTTTCCCAGAGATGGGTTGCGGCTGGAAGGGCATCCGCTGTGTAAAAACTTGCTGGATAAGTTGGCGGTTCATTCCGCTGTGGTGACCCCGGATTAATAAAGGGACTAAGCCGACAAGAAAATGAATGAATGAACATTTAAGTGAGTCAAACCCCTTCACAAACAAGAAATTATGTGGGGCAGGAACAGATTTGGTCCAGGAGGAATTGATTGGATATATTATGGTTGGCTATTAGTGGATCTCATGTGATTGAAAGGTTTATCCTGCCCTCGATAGTAAACATGTCACCAGAGTAGTGGTTTACACTGGCTGCCTGTATTCTGTATTCTGTATTGCTTCTGTAAGGCTCTAAATAGTCTCGCTCCTGTTTATCTAACCAAAGCTTCTTAATGAAAAGGAGAGTTGTGCTGATTAAAGATGGACCCTTTTCACATTGGCGGGTTTCTCAGCAGCAGAAGTCATCATAGTATTTCATAAAAGAGTCCATTACAAGTAAACAAGAATTTGACACAACTAATGATGGAGTTAGTACCGTAAGGTGTTGTGCTGCTCACCTGCTCCAGCTCCACAGGGACACCCAGGCCAGACAGGTGCAGGGTGGCCAGCAGGAGAGAGGAGGGCTGGTGACCCCAGCAAGAGGACACCTGGAGATGCACAATCGCAGTGGACTTGAGGCCAACATCAGACTGCCCTGCTTTAGAGATTGTCTTTACTGCATCATGAAAAATCATCTGGCTTAGATTTTGCAAAGGTTTGCCACTGGAGTCCAGACCTGAGGAGCAGAAGAGGAGACCTGTTCACCAAGAGCTGCGGGTAGTTCACACTGTGGTCCTGATACACCCAGCAGATGATTAGCAGAGCAATGATATGCTTATTTGTATGTTGTTTTACGAATTGGAGCATGTTTAGCAATTCATTGGTCCTGAGATCTGATCAATCGTTCCCTCTCCTTGTGCCTTTTATGCTAAATTCACATTATGCAATTTTAGCCCTGATTTTAGCTTGCTGAAAATCTGTAACTTCTACAGAACAGGACACTCAACCATAGCTAAAATCTATCCCTGTGATGCTGACAACGAACATGCGAGGATCCAAATGCAGGATTTATTAGCAGGATGGTCAGGCAAGCAATGGTGAACACAGGAGCAAACAGATGTATGCTGGAAATCCAGAGTCGTGGAAAACAGGCAGATGGTCAAACAGGCAGGCAGCATACAGGAATAAACAAACAAAACAAAGCTAGGATCTAACACGGCAAGACAAAACAAGGATCGTAATGTTGACTATACAGTTAACCAAGACCAAGTAAGCCCTATATATGAGTGTGTAATCAGTCATTAAGCAGCATCAGCTGCAAATCAATGGTGACTGGGAGCAGGTGTGTGTGTGTGTTGCATGACAGAATCTGTAGTTCGTTTTGAGGCAGGAGTGTAGTTCACGTGAATGCGAATGTTCTCCAGGGATCTATTGTGGTTAGATCGCTGGTGATCGTGATAGTATGCAATGCTTCTATCTATATGCATGCTAATACTTTCGGTTGATTTAATTACAGTACTGTTTATCTCAAATATGGTTTTCTGTAAGCCCTCAATAGATGCCAGCAGATCAGTTTATTGTAATATTAATACAACAACAGTTGACATTCGAAATAATTTAAATATTCCTAATTAACTAACTTGTCATTATTATTTATTTATTTACTGTACATTTACCCCTTTGAGCTAATTTGCACTGTCTGCACTAGTTGGATCCTGTCAAGAGCCCCAAAATACATTTATTTATGGTAATGTGTTCAAGTGCGACATTTATATCCCAGGCTCATCTAATGCAGGTCAACCCACAGTTGTTTTTCATTGCTGGTAGCTCTGTGGCATCTGCTTGGTGTGTCAGGAAACTTTTAATTTATTTTCTACCTGTTAAGTAGTCCTGGTGCTCCTCTAGAAGCCTTAAAGTGATGTTGAATCTTCTTTGCTGGTCCCACGACCAAGTTTGTGGGCAGTTCCTACTTCCAAACATCCTCCTAAGGTCTTCATAATGAGACACACAAACATCTGATGACCAACAAAAAAACAGTCAATGGAAAACTGTAGTCGTTTACTCGTTTACTGTTTAATTACGTATTAAGAAAAGCCAAAACGTCTCAATATTAATCACACTGGTGATCAACAGTTTTGAATGTGGTTTATTGTTATTGAGTCCGTCCTAAAGGCACTGGTTTGAGCACATCACCTCACTAATCACAATCACTTGCCTGAAAATGAGATCTGAGTATGTGTAAATGAACACAAAATGTAATCATTTGGACTACATTTCCCATCATGCACCTCACATACACCAGTTCTTGATCACCACTGATTGCAAACACACTGAAACTCACGAAGACTGATTACCAGGACTATAAATGTACTCCTAACGTATCCAGCACATGTTTTACACAGCAGACGCCCTTGCAGCTGCAATTCAGTACTGGGAAACACCCATACACACACATTCACACACATACTCATAAACTACGGTTAATTTAGTTCATCAATTCCCCTATAGCACATGTGTTTGAGCTGTGGGGGAAACCAGACCCAATGCCAACACAGGGAGAAAATGCAAACTCCACACAGAAACACCAACTGACCCAGCTGAGACTCAAACCTTCCAGACCTTCTTGCTGTGAGGCCACAGTTCTAACCCCTAAGCCGCTACTTACTGCTATTCAAGTATCTGCTTAATAATAATAAAAAAGTCACCATTGTTTGAAGTGAGCTGACCTCTAGAGGAGTCTCGGTTGTGTCTCAATGCCTGCAGATACTGCTCAGTGACCTGCTTCATTTCCTCACACTGTCTGTGGACTCTGTCCAGCTCCTGTAGAGTTCTAGCAGGGGACAGAGGGTTTCTCACCTTGAATAAAATAATGCAACACATTAACATACAAGAATGTCCGAAAGCATCCTGCATTGAATGATTAAAGGGGAGCTGTTATGCTCCTTTATACAAGATGTAAAATAAGTCTCCGATGTCTCTAAAGTGTGTGTGTGAATTGTGAGCTGAGAATACTGCACAGATAATGTTCTCTATCTCTCTGTAACTAACCATTTTAGGCTTTGATCTTAACTGTGGTGTTTTGGTGACTGTCGCTTTAAATTCAAATGAGATTGTGCTCTTTACAGAAGAGGGCGGAGCTACAGATGCCTGTGTGTCAGCATAGTGGCAGATTCAAAAACAAGACTAACGCCTAATGAGGGAGAGATGGGCACTAGTGGGCGGGGTTTTCCCCCTCTGATGACACGTACAGAGGGAGAATGTCAATCAAAGTGTTTCTGCAGACTGTTTTCATCAAGTCTGATTATAACAAATACAATTCATTCATGTCTAGCATTCATACACACAACTTTAGACACACAACTGTTTAAACCCCTTTTAAAAGTGATTTTTGGATAATAGGCCCCCTTTAAAGGGATAGTTTACCCAAAAATGAAAATGTCAACACGGAGATGTTCATTTTTAACATTAGATGTTCATTTTTAGATGAACTATCTCTTTACTGACATTTATAAATTGGTTTTGAGAATTCTCCAAGATAACTGAACTCACCTTTTCTGAGCCTAAACGATAATATCTGATGGGTCCAAAATAGCCATGAAAGCCTGGCGTGTATCGGCATCCACCAAACACAAAATATCCTGATGTGTCGTTGAACTGAACTGGGCGATGAAAACTGAAGAAGAAAACAAAAGCAGTTTACCACTGATCAACTACACTGAAAACTATTTAAAAATAATTATGTTTAGTTGGGTACACTGTGAAATATAGGATTTATCTGCAGGAAATATCTGCATTTTGTGTGTTTTGTGTTTATTTGTGGTTGTGAACTGCATTATGGGATGTTAATCTCTGCTCTGTCCACTTCTTATGTTGTAAATTTAACTCTAAAGTTGAACAAAGTGACTTTTACTGACATGTTAGTGGTTTGAATTAATATATTGAATATATCTAGAGAAATAAGAGTGTAGAACTACAGAAAATGTGCTGCAGTTTATTATTAAAGGTGTTTGTAGCGTAATTTACAACACCAACACACACTATATAGCACTGCAGACTAATACACATGCAGAAAACACACTTTTTCACACTTTTCAAGGTTAAAAGTTGTTGAAAGGAAGATCAAGATCCCATAATGCAGTTCACAAGCAGAAACAAAAATAAATTCATGAATCACAAAACACAGAATTTACAGATATTTTTGTAAAGTACAGTGTAAATCATGACAAATGTGTTTATAATTATATTAATTATCCACCAATGTTTTCTTTAATATATATATATATATATATATATATATATATATATATATATATATATATATATATATATATATATATATATATATATATATATATATATATATATATATATATATATATATATATATATATATATATATATATATATATATATATATATATATATATATATATATATATATATATATATATATATATATATATATATATATATATATGTGTATATATGTATATTTATATGTGTGTGTGTGTGTTTGTGTGTGTGTGTGTATATATATATATATATATATATATATATATATATATATATATATATATATATATATATATATATATATATATACATATATATATATATATATATACACACACAAACACACACAGACACACACACTCACACACAGACACACACACTCACACACACACACACACACACACACACACAAATATATATATATATATATATACTCCTATTTTAATTCACCATTTGTAAGCTCCAATGATTTT